TGTTTTTTTACATTGTAAAGTGTGAATCAAGATTTTGATACACCTCAAGGTCTGATAGCAATAGATGGACAAACGATCATGCGTGAATTTATACTCAGTGACGACCCCTATATATGGAGGCACAGACGTCTTGATACGTGACCAGAAATCCAAATGAACACCAATTTATTAGCTTAATTTGCACTACAGAAACGACATTATCCTCGTGTACACTTGTAGCCGACATTATTAAGGATACAAGTGCCGAGGGTTTAAAGCATTTGACATTAGTGTTATTTAAGGATAAATGCATCGCAATTTAGAAGTGGTTCCATATTAATGATTTTACAGATAATCAAAGCCAGAAATTTTAGTGGTCCAACGTAAAGGTCTTTTTTAAAGATAATTACATTAAGATTAATTGACAAAGATTTTTACATTTTTGCAACGTTCATGTCATATGATGCTGACAGAATCACAGAATCCTTTTAAGGATAACTGCATCATGAAAAAAAAATCAGAAATGAAAGTTTTAAGGATAACTGAACCAAAAAATAAAGTTTCAACCAGATTTTTTATTTACAGAATGTGGAAATACGTATGTTCCTATAACCTTTCAGATCAAGTGAATTTGTACTTAAGAAACAAAACTTAATTGAGATATAGTGGAGCATGATACCAATTCCTTCATTCAATTAAATTTTTTGGTCAACACAAAATAGTTCCAAATTTTCTAATAATGTAAAAAAAACGTGTTTTTAATGCGAGATATTTTCTTTGGCATATATAACAATTAGTGAAAATTCTTAGCCAGTCATTATTCACAATGAACAATATTAATCGTAAAATTCTTGAAAAAAATCATTTAGAAATACAATTGAACTGAATCGACCAACAGACCCATGGTCTTTATTAGATCAATGTCTAACTTAATAAACAAGGCAAGTTCATCTTGAAGTGAACTCTATGATTTCCATCTCAAACTCACAGTTTTCATAATTGACTTAGGTATAATCATGTTGGTCAGAATTGTATTTGTGAAAGTACATCAATATTTCAAGAAAAATGTTTGGAAGGTATGTTAGAATCGCCACATCCTCAGAGACCTATGTTAATTGCTAATTCCACAGAAGCTACTTGTTTAGGCCTCGATCAATCTTAGACAACAAATTATTCGCTATCCTGAATGTTGTTACAATATATTAAGGAAATAGCAGTAATCCGTACTGTGTAGTTTAAAAGTACTTTCTATATCACTGTTTTATTTCCTACCTTTGCCCTTTCACCACTGTAGACCATAATGGACCCCTCCATATCAATGCATGGTAGAGTCTACTAAAGTTGCATAGGGGGTGAAAGGGTTAGGTGCCGTATGGTCCTCTATTTTAACTTGACGACTTTCCTTTATAGAACAATGACACAGCATTTCATCTCTTTATATATTTCCTCATTGAGACTTGCTTGTGCGACTCCATAAAGGTCAAATACATAGTTTGTTTGAAGCAGACATATGACAAATAATAATACCGTAAAAAACTATGTAATTTGCGCAGGTACTTTTTGAGGCTGAAAAAGCATTCACTCAAATATTTTGCACACCAAAAAAAATCTGGAAAAAAATGATGTTCATGCTCCGTAATAATAATTTGAGGTTCTTATATACCGCTTTATCACAACCTAGTTTGTAGGTTGTCTCAAAACGGTTCACAAATTATTATCAGTGGCTATAGTAGGGCCTTTGCAACCAGCCAATATCTTTCTCAAATCCCTCGGGAGCATACAGCCAGTTCTGCCATTTCGGCACTCACAGTTAGCATTCTACAATTCTAGCACTGCCCAACCACATACTCATTTACAGCTGTGTAGACTGGAACACGTGGATTGCTCAAAGATATAAAATAGCGGCATGCATGCTGTGACTCGAACCTGCAATCCTTCGGTCACGAGCCCGACGTCCTACCACTAAACTACCATATGCCTCCTAATTGGATAAATTTACCAGTTTCAATAGCCAGTACATGGGGACTATCAATTTTTCGACAGATTGTATTCTGAGAATAGGGCCAATATTCACGAAACTGTTCTCAAGCTCAAACTCAAGATTCTGTGCTCAATCCCAATTTCTTGTTCTGTTGATAAATAAATAAAAATCCACATTTTCTCAAAGTTTTGGAAGAATTTTGGAGAGACTAAAAGCCGAATATCTGTTTTAAGTATCAACATGTGATCTTTTTTTGGCTGTGTCACATGTTTTAAACGAGTTTCAAGAAAGTAAGTTTGAGAACAGAATCCATGCTTGAGCATGAGAATGGTTTTATAAATATACGGACCTAGAACAAATAGGTGCTGCCACTATTATTTGCCATAACTTCACAATGTGAGCGGACAAATCAAGAAAATGTCGATGTTTCACATACATGTATTAAAATACCAAACAGTAAATTTTGTCTTTTCCTCAAGCACACCGACTAGTAGAATACTTTCAAAGCTTACTAACCAGGAAGGAAAGGATGAACAGTTACTAGACACTTATCTTATAGAGAAACAAATTGTGCTCTTGATGCAAACCGCAATCAGGGGGCGATCTTTCTGATTTAATTAATAAGACTTCTCCTGTTTTCCACGTTCGGTCATTAATAACGAATAATGCCCCAGACGTTTGGCCATCTATTGGCGATTTGGCAAACACCCCCTCCAGTCGGAGTCGGGGTGTGATACATGGTTGAGTTAGACCTTTGGGTCATGTACAATCCGACAAGGCCAATTGTCTGGGGAGAGCTATCAATCACATGATCACCTATCAACCAATCACCAACAAATCACACGTCTTCTCTATTACCTACAGCTGGTAAGCTGGCCAATACATTCCTGGTTATTGTCCGTAGAACAAAATGAAAAAAAAAAAAAAAAAAAACTTGGGGGGGGGGGGTTTGGTTTAAGACTATACTATCTGAATTAGGCTCCATCTGAACATTTGTCCCAGAAAAAAAAAATCTACCATAAATCTTACAAATGTTTCATAAAGTTTGGTATAAACAAGCACACAAGATGAACCTTTGCTGTCCTAGTAGTCTTCAATGCACTTTAAACCGACCAGTTATTGATTAATATGCAAATTTTCAAACCAAATCGCATAGCTAGGTTTGTAGAAGGCAAACAGTTTATTTTAAAGAAAAATGTAAAGGGAGCTTAATACAGAGGCTGATTTGTGCTATTTCTTCATTTTGCCTTTTTGCTCTGATAAAACCAAGATCTAGTAATTTTTAATGTTTATTGTTTCATCTTTTCAGGCCAAAAAGATGAAACGAGAATTGAGGTTTGTTTATTCTTGTCTTGCAAAACGCCCATGAGACGTTACGAAACGGCACAAATCAGCCACTGTACCTGTAGCTAGAAGTACTTGACATAAACTGGAATGTGTAACATATAGTGGTCCATATTTATAGCTTATTTGAATTTGCTGCATTCATAATTTCCAATATCAAGGAAAAATTGATTCTGTGGTGAATAAATTCCTTGGATACTCGCTGAAATTTAAGATTTAGTTATTTTATCTGATTTGTTTAAACAGAGACTTATAAATAGGTATTGCACTGGTTACAAAGATTGAAAACAAAGATTGAAACTCTGGTCATCAACAATTAAGAGCTGACATTGTTCTGATGTTTCGTTATTTCCCTTTCTTCAGTTTTTGCACTTGCTGTGCTACATGTACATAAAACCATCAAGTTTAAACATTGAAAATGGTATTCAGCCCTAATTAAGACTCTCCAAAATCCTTCCTGATCATTGACAAAATTGTAATTTTTCATAAATTTATCACTGGAATAAGAAATTGGGCTTGAGCACAAAATCAGACTTTGAGCATGAGAACAGTTTCATGAATACGGGCCCTGATCCTTTCTAGTAATGGTTTCTTGTATACATACAAAAAGTATAAATTGCATAAACATATCATATCATCTACACACTTTTTATTGACAACAATTTTATGTGGAAAGATAGAGTTCAGCATAATTTGGCGAAGATATTTTAAACGCAGCAAGAGCAACATTCAATGGTGTATTCTGTTCATGTCTGTGTTGAAATAAATAAAACCATATTATGTTACAAAAAGTACCAGTCTTAAAAAAAAGACTTAAGAGACAGGCTCATCACAAATAACCATAGTAATAGCCGAGCAGCTGCCGTTTTTCTACCATGAAGCTGTCAACTTTGTAGGTTTTAATGGTGAATTATTATACAATGTATAGAAAATGCCTGTCAAAATTGTATGAAGTACATGCATGCAGAATGAATTGTTTTCAAGGCATAGACTATCTTCCCCAGTCTGCGACGTTAGTTATGACCATCGTGGAACACGAAATCAGAAGGATGACATCCAATCGGGAAGACGAAGATGAGGACCGTGCTTATTGAAACCACTGAATAAACTCATCCTATTGAACTGGATTACCTCCCCTTACTCTTGATACGTACCACTACGTTTCAGCGACATTCACATTACTCGTATCAAATATCACAAAAACTAAATTGCTAATCAAAATATCTTTTGCTCTGAAAAAAATAGCATTTTACAAGCGGACATAGATGTTTTTTTAGATGACACATATTTCAACAATTATTCTCTGCATAGAGTTCAACCAGACATCATAATTATAATTTGTCGCACAAGGGAAATAATCAACAAATGATACATCTTTGGGAAGTAAACCTGATCATTTTATATTGAAGGGAAGTAACTGAGTCATTACTCACTTACTTCCCTTTAATGTAATGTTTTCAGGTTTTCTGGCTACATTTCCAGGTAGAAACACAGTTAAGGTACATGTTTATCTAAGGGAATTAACCTGATATTTTTTTTTATATTAAAGGGAAGTAACTGAGTAATGGCTACATTTCCAGGTAGAAACACAGTAAAGGTACATGTACAACTAAGGGAAGTAACCCAGTAATGTCTCGCATTCTAACAGTTTGAATAGAGATTAAAAGCTAGAGTATTTGAGTAAAAATGTACTCACAGGTATCATCTTCAGAAATGTAAGCTGAAAGGAAACAGAAAAAAATAGTAGAGACAAAAGGCATTGACAAACACTGCACAGAAGGGCAACAGCAACTATCTATAATCAAGTGGAAACTACAGCATTCCTACTTAATTTTCAAAACTGACAAATATGTGAAGCTGTATAATTATTTAATTTACAAAAATCTTTTAACAATGTTAAAGCTTGTAAAAAGGCAATATTGAATTCTTAAAAATTAAAAACTTTTTTGGCATTATTAAATTTTCAGGAAACAACTACAGTATTGCTAAAGCAAACCATTAATAGAAATACAATTTGCAGCATACCATAGTTATTTTCATAAATGCCCTATTTGACTTTTAAAAATTCTCATCAGTACTTGCGGTACTGCAATTGTATATATTTTTGAAATTTTAAAAACCATAAAAATATATATTGATATAACATTTCAAATAAAAGACACAGGATCTTGGTATTTTTAAGCATACATTATTATTGGCATTTTGGAAAACAGAGCTGAAATTAATGATATTTATAAGAGTAAATACTGTAATTGAATTCAACAGCACCAAACCAACTTCTGCAACGATTTGCATATTTATTGGTATTAATTTGCATATTTATCAGGAGGAAATTTGCATATATGTATTTTTCATAAATGCATAAATATATCTTAGCCTCAATGAGTGTGACTGAGAAATTTAAGCTTAGAATGAAACGTGAAAAGAAGTTCAAAATGGCTATTTGTTATTTTATTATTGTCCATTCCAATTTAGAACAATTTCATGTGACTTGACAAAAAAAGAAAATGATAAATATGAAAACAAAACGTGTAATTTTTCATCTTTAAAACTTGCATTGACATGTTAACCAAGTTTCATTACTGTAATTCATGATGTTTAAACAAGGCAAAATTTGCAGCTTCTGTGCTTTTGATATAAATTTTCTCTTACTGTTGAAAAGAAAAAGAATCAACTTTGATTACAAAAAAGACAAACACTGAAACAGGAGTAAAAATTAGTCCCTCTCCGAAGTTTATGAGAGATTCTCTGAAAATTAGCCAATTTAGCTAAACATAAAATGACCATGCCGATATGTTGCCATTTCTTGAAGAACTGAAAGTCAAAACGTTATACTTTTAAAATCTTGTCAGGGGGGTTTAAATTGACATTTCAGGCCAATTTAATGCTACAGCTAATGGAACAATCGAATCTTCATCAGATGTATTTCCGTCTCCGCTAAAACTTTAGCCTATTGGGGAAATTAAATCTGAATTTCAACTGTAATCAGATGGGATCAGGGCATTTTAGTTAGAAGTCTCTCCAAGGTCGCACAAAGGGCAAGGAACAGTATGATCAGGTCCCAGAGGAAACACACACACACAGGTTTCCATGGGTTGCATTCAAAAAGGTGAATTTAATGTTGGTAGGGTTTTTAAGAAAAATAGTCTAATGGCTTATTCAGTGTCAGCATAAGAATTGTTTTGTCGTGATTTTTCAGAAAACTCAAGAATCAAATTAAACCAAAAAAAAAAAATCGGTAAGACATGAATGGTTCCACTCCCACTCTCAGTATTCTTGTTTGTCGAATTTCTTTACATAGTACAAGTATCAGTGACCTTGACCTTTGTTTTTTTTTTATAAAAAATATGATCTCCTCTGTGGTACCTTCATAACGAAGTTTATATAAAGTTTGACCAGAGTCATTAAAGAAATGAGATAGCTGGAGCGATGTCACTGAATTTGTTGACAGATTTCTGTAAATAGTAACAATGACCTTAGCCATGACCATGGAACCATGAAATACAAGTTCAGTTGAGCTATTTTCATATTTCAGACTTTTCTATTAAGTTTCATCGAACCGATGCCTTAGGGAAACATGTTATTTGTGAGTTATGAATAATTAAGATGATTTTTCAGTACTGTATTTTTTTTGTAACACAACAGGAATAAAGTGATGCCTCTTATAAATTTTCAACTCAAATTCCAAATATTACCAAGCAGTCACTGACATATATGGTGATTTGTTTACTTCTAGGTAACTATGGTGATTTGTTTACTTCTAGGTAACTATGGTGATTTGTTTACTTCTAGGTAACTATATATGGTGATTTGTTTACTTCTATGTAACTTACTATGTCAATTTCACTTTCTAGTTAAGGAATGATTTTTATTTTTTCAACATTTATGTGGTCATAACAACAATGGGTTTATGGACATATTGAATGAATCGCGTTAGCGATTCATGTAAAATATGTCCAAAAACCCATTGTTGTTATGACCTCATAAATGTTGAAAAAATAAATATCATTCCTTATATTTACATTGACAAATCCTTTCAGTGGATCGATATAACAACGAATAAAACAAATAAACAGGGTTTGTTCCTGCTTATACACGGGTGCAACACAGTGGTGAGAACAAGTGTTTTTTCGCAGGGAAATGTGACACTATCGTGAGAGATCTTAGCAACCGTCAACAACAATAACACAACAAAATGTAGTTCCATATTCAATGTTTATTTGTAGCACAGGACACGTGAATATATTCACCAAGCACAGTTCAATAATATTTTAAGATGTAAGAATTAAGCATCTAGGTTGGTCGTTCCGAGTGAGTTGTTTTTGTAGTGTATTATTACGCAGTGTGATCAGGTTACTATCAGTTCCCACGTGCTGAGATTCTATGAACACTTGTGTTATGCATTTATGAATGTAATTTTTGTCAATGGGTCTAAGCATACAGAATGTAAATATTTCTCTGTAATATTTATTTTTCTGTATGTCATAGATCTGTATATCAAATGAAAGAAAAACGACCAAACATTCTTGAATCCCTATGGACTAAGCATGCTACCAATACAATGGAGATTAGATCTTCCAAGTAGTTTGGAAGTAAATACTATGCGAACCAATTTGACCCCTTTTACCCTTAGCTCCTAGAAGAGTCGGCGTCTTAACTTTAAAAAATATTGATCCCTATGTGTAAGTATGCTACTGCTACAATTTGACTGAAATCTGCTCTGTAGTTTAGGGGTTCATTAATTGCAGCAAATCATCCAGTTTGATCCCTTTTACCCAGTTCCTCAATCCCAAAGAAGGTCATGATCAGCCCCTTGATTTGTGGGATCTGTTGATCCTAATTTGGCTGAAGGGTCAGCTAGCACCAAAATTTTGTTGAATTCTGCTCATCAGTTTTGGAGGAGATATTCTTTAAATCAAAAGTTAGACTGACAAAAGACAACAGATGACGGACAGATGATGGACAGACAATGGGTGAATCATCACCACATATAAGCCCAACCCTGGCATTTATTAAATTCATACCAGGTGATCTAAACTGTCCGTTCTATAATGTTGGTTTCAATATATGTGCCTACTAAAACTTCATCACGTTAAACAATAACACTACAGTACCCTCAACTCACTTGAATGCATTGCCTGCATGAAAAGAAAAAAAGAAAAAAAAAAGAGCAATATTTTCCAGATTCCATGATATAATCGTAAGATTTTAGCGCCTGTCTGTACACTGTGCTAAATTTTACAATGATACAATGTCAACAGCCGGCTGTTCTTGCCACAGAAAATTCCCTATAGTGTTATTAGAGAGAGCAGTAAAGTAATCGGACAACATTTCTTCTATGTACATATCTCCCCTCTCTCTCTCTCCCATTATTCAACAGCCAACATTTTAAATTATTGCACTGTAATAAGTGGTAACAATTTCTCGAGTCCAAAGTTGATAAAATATTTAGCTGACATTATATGCATAAAAAAAAAAATGTGACAAAGTTATGCATTTCACAAAAACTTTCGGAGTTTTTTTCTTCAAGGAATTATTCTCTATGAATTATAAATGTACAACTGTCATGATGTATGAGCCCACCCTTCCCTACATAAAATCAGAGATCTGTTCCAAAGAACCCACATAAAACTATTTGCGGGACACATTCATTTTTGGACTTGGAATTATAAATGATGCGTAGATAGACGTTATTTATTGAATATTTCGTACAAGAAATAGATGACAAGCATGTTGTTGACCTTGAATATGAAATATAATACCCAAAACTTTTTTTTAAAGATATTTCTATCATCCTTGAATGATTTTTTTGTCATTTTTTTTTTTCTTTCGCCAAAACAATTTCTTTAAAATTTATTGCACCCTCGGGTACAAACCAACACATAGTTTTCTTTATGCACACATATGAATCTTGTGCAAAACACGCCCAAAGTTTTTATCATATTTATTCAATGTCCTCACATAAATGTCGGAAAGAAACATAAATGAAACAGATTCCAGCCAAATGCCAAAGATCGCATCAGAGCATGCCTACAAGATAGTAAGATATATAGATGGAAGTCATACTAAATATGTAAGAAAAAAATTGAAGAGGGACGCAAAAAATCAATCGCCAGAGACCGAATTTCTTCTGATGAAATGTTTCTTTAATGATGGGCAATAAGGGCTGCGTGTTGTGTTAAGCCGGTTAACGGGAGAACATGTGGTTTAGAGAGTCTCAGGACGCGGCAGAGGTGAGTAAGTGGGTAAGCCAGCTTGAACCCTTGCGGGGACAAAGATATCCGTTAGGAAGTATCTGTGATCAATGCGTATGTTTTTACAGTTTACAGAAACTACTGTTTGCTTCTATCTACGGAATCTACATGAAATGTCATTCGCCTGACGGTATCAATCTAGCATGGCAGACATTATCTCTGATTTAATCTACGAGAAAGCCTGCTCATGCAAGTATCCCAGTTGTTTTTGACTAGGCTGTCTCCATGCAGTCGAAACAAGTCTCGGGGACATCATCCGCTCGCTCACGTAATCCAATCATAATATCCGCGTCTCATTCAATAGACTCCTGTTAAAGTTTGATTAATGAAGTTACTTACTGAATATATCATACACTTTGTTACCTAAGAATTTCAAGGTCAATTTTTTTATATTAAAAGCCTAAACAGATGTAAATATTCACAAATCTTCGAAACATGTACCTTATCAGCTGGATAAAATAATTAA